TCGTCAAGTTTGGAGTCCATTCGAGTCTTATATAGTGTACGGGTGCTCTCATGAATTAAACTGGACAGATTGTATTGAGGAAGATCAATTCTTTCTAAAAGTTGTTCGTCTTGGCTTGATGAGACACTGTCCTTTAATCTATATGGGAAAACAATTTTTGCCGTGACCATGTGGTGATCTGATCCGCATACTGCTCCTCTCATAGCTCTAATATCTCTAATGAGTATTTGTGAATTTTGTTTAACTATCACGTAATCTATTATAGACTTAAGATTCCTTGTTGGTTGAAACCATGTATATTTGTATATATTTTTGTGATGGTAATATCCGTTAGTTATTTTGAGTCGATTACTTTCACAGAGATTAATAAGTTTTTCTCCGTTATCATTTACGACGTCGTCTCCATAAGGTCCAATTACATTGTTGTGACGCTTGTTTCCTGTTCTTCCATTAAAATCGCCTAATAAAAATATTTCTCGGTTATTTCCAACTCTAGTAATAACTTCGTTTAATTTTGCAAAGAATTCTTCTTTTGTGGTTACATTCTCATCCTCTGAGGGGGCATAGATTGCTAGTATTGTTGTTTTTTTATGGTATAGGGTCATATTTACTTGCAGGATATTTTCATCTATTGCAGTCCAGCTGGTAATTTTCCTTTTAAACTTTTTGTTAATAATTACGGATACTCCTCTCTTAGCTCTTTCTTCCTTTGATACGCCGCTATACAGGTGCATGTAGTCTCCTATCATTCCTGATCCAACGCCCTTCTTCTTTGATTTAGTGAGGGTCACTATGTTGAGGCCAAGTTGTTTTACTTCTTTGATGATCCCTTCAGTTTTACCCCTTACTCCTTGTACATTCCATATACCTATCATCATGGTCCTTTTTCGTAGCCGTTTTCGTCTTTGTTTAGATCCGTCTATATTTCCGAGGCTTGGTTTGGGATTTTTAGCAGTAGTTTTTTTTCTAGATATTAAGGAGCTAGCTCAATGATCCAACTCCCAACTTGGAGTGCCAGGAAATTTGTCTTAAGGTTTTCATCCTTTAGATTGACTGTCTTTCTGGACTTCAGAGATCAATCTTCCCCTCGATTTTATACAAGCCCTAAAACCATTGGGCTGCCACCTCCGCCTTCCAGACCATTGTGAAGATCTTCTTCTCCGCCCTGGATGCCATTGTGAGCTTCATCCGTGACCCTGGACAAGGGATCCTTAGCAGGTACTAGTTTCCCGGGTTAGGAAACACCTGTAATCTGCGGAAGGCAGGGATTGATTCACTTTCCCTGATAGGACTATCCAAAAGGAGTTCCTACCCGTTACTTATAAAACTTAAGATATATTTATTACATAGTTATAATTGCAGATAGTTCTGAATGACTACAGTACCAGATTTACAAGATATCAGTTGTACGGGATCTATTGGGTCTAAAAATCAACACCGGCCAAATCCAAGATATTGTTGGTAAACCGGAATCAGAATACAATACATAGATAACCAGTCTAAATTTAAATATCTGGGCCAAGAGGTATGCGTATGTGCCAAGCGATAGGTAACAGGCAAGAGAAAGACGTCTGTAACAAACGGTAGCCAACAGGCAAGAGAAAGAGTAGGTCGGTGTAGTGAGACTCAGCAGATGAAAGAGAGCGACATCTTGTTTGCTATGTTACAACTGTCTGTATTTCTAAAGTAAGGGAGGTTGAACTGGAATAGGAAGGATTATCAAGGGTTCTTCTTCTCCATCACGTGCCATCTCTGCGGCGGAGGTTGGCAATCATCATGACTATTCTGATCTTAGATGCTGCTGCTCTGAATAGTTCAATTGATGTGCATTCGTACCATTCCCTCAAGTTACGCAACCATGAGATTTTTCTTCTTCCTACACTTCTCTTGCCCTGGATTTTCCCTTGTATAATCAATTGAAGTAGTAAGAAGTATCAAGGGTTGAACTAAGGTAATAATTGTAAAATTATGGTAGAAGGATGATTTTTCGCATGTGAAAAAATTGAACAACAGACATGTGGCAAAATTGTTGCCAATTTTCGATGGAAGAAGGCACTCAGATAATAGCCGGAATATATGCTACATTATTATTTTTAATTATTATCAGATATCTACTAAAACACCAAGACAGTCTTTTATCTGTAATGTATTGCAAAATACGTAAAACCCTCCACTAAACAAATTTTCTGTATGTATATATCGTGGGTGTTTTGGGAAAATCTACTAATTCACAAAAGTAAAATTTTGAGAAAAACGCATTTAAAGATTTCAATACCTCCTAAAAATCAGAAACACTGGTTGGTCAAGTTTTGGTACCTGGATATGATTTGGAAGTATGTTATCCACACGTGGTGTGCACATTCATGTAAACATATTTTGAAAAACATTATTTTATTGATGAAAACTGCGAAAAAGATGGAGTTAGTTGATTTTCCTTGTCAATGCACCTATTTAATATACGGTTGAAACATTTAAATGTATAAATTAATATTTATGGGGTAAAACTTTTTATAATAAAAGACAGAAAAGTCTTGAATATTCATATTATCAAAAACTAGATATACATAGAGATAAGTGCAGACACTAAGAGTTTTGATCACTCATGTCATCTTC